TGTTTTTAATCTGAATCTGCCTGCGACTATTACCCATCTGGTTAAGTTAAATGTGACCAGCAGGCTCCTCTGATAAAATGTCAGACATCTCTGCTGTGCAGAGAAGGAGGCCCGTCAGCCGTTCCCCACCACTGCACGACTATGGGAGGAATGCCCACACAGTGAGAACCATTCACAGCAATGCTTCCGCAACCTCTGGGACCTCATTCTCCTATTTCAACACATGCTGGAGTAGCAAAAAGCCTACAGACTTTCCAGAGAGGTCCGTGACTAGGAAAACTTCTTATTTTGAAAACTGCCTGGCACTGTCTTTTGAAGACCCAGTTCTCGCAAAGCAGAAATGTAAGGGTGACCAGGACTGCCTCCAGGACACCAGACTGAGTGCTGTCTCTGGGAACAGATCCAGAAGGCTGCACTTGTGCAAAAGAGCACACTAGCTACTATAAAACAGCAATTATGTTTTCAATTCATAAGGAAACAATCAATTGATCGTAACAAGAAGTCACATCTACTCATTCCAGGGGGACCTTCAAGGTGCTGGTCTGGATTTCTTAAGGTGCTTGATAGTGAAGGACCCACCTGGGTAAGCAGTGCTCTTTTTCTCCCTCTGTGTGACTGAAGAAATAGATGGGCAGAGCTAATTTTTCACGTAATTTTGGATTTCAGTTTTTACAGCTGCACCAGAAAGTGAGCTGTAGGCCCATGCTCTAGAGCTGCACTCCTACCACAGCCTGAGAGAGGGTCACTCGTGGAGCTGCTGGGAACTGCCTGTTCAGCAGCTAGATACATTAAGTATTTGAGGTTCTTGTTTCTTAATGTTTATCTTACACATGTACTCAATAACTAAGAAAAAAAGTCTTGTGCATTTCTATTTGTTAGCCTGATTTTCAAAGTCTCTAATCACCTACATGCTCCCTGCAGTGTTCCAAGAAATCTCTGAGCGCCGAGCACTTCCAAAGAGCAGGTGAAGACTGCTCATTTCTACATAAAGAATCTAACTTGCAGCAAATATTTAAATAATGACATTAAAAGCAGGGACAAATTCAAAGAGAATTTGAGAAGTTCTGAGCAATTACAACTGCTACTGAGCATGCAAAAGTTTCCTGTGAATACTTTACAGAAAACTTTTTAGGGAAAAAAATAAAGTGGTGATCTGCATGCAGTTCACCGTCACAAGACAGCTAGCACACTGACAGTACAGCATGGGGCTGTCAGTTAAACAAAAAGCAGCTCGTTCTGCCACATAAAACTGTGCAGATGTGCAGAGGGCAAAAAGAACCAGAGCACAAGTTTGCATGCTGCCTGTCGTGCCCGGACGGAAGAACGTTTTCCGTGTTTCCTGTAACTGTGCAACACAAGGGAGAGCACAGCTGCCCCACAGCAGCTCAAGCAGGGCTGCAGAGGGGTAGAAGTATTCTAGAAATATAACAGGGATTTTGATATGACTTTCACTGCTGTTATGATATTTTAACATTAAAAAAAAAATAAATAAAGCTATATCTAAAGATCCCAGTGTCAAATAACATTCCTATAAGGGAACAACTGAAGTCTTTCAAAAGACCAGAAGTGATGAACAAATGAGAGTTTCAGATATGAGCAAATCTGGAGCTGACTGGAAATTTGAGAATTAGGCCTTTTTGGATGTTGCTCTGTGAAAGCAACTGGAATCTTGTGGGTGATGGGAGAAGAGTGCACTTGGCCCATGCGGTGAAGGACTCATCACTTTCAGCTCATTAACTCCAACAGGAATCAGTCAACAGCACCGGATCCACAAAGAGTTCTGTTAGGAAATAAGCTGAAGGAACGCCTTGGAGAAAGACTTCCAACAAAGACTCTATTGAGTAAACTGTGTCAGATGGCTTTGAAGACATAGGCAGGATGGTATGGAGGATGAATAAAATGTTCTCATTCTGTCCGGTAGCTGAGGTTACAGCTGGTAAGCACCTCACCAGCTCTGGCACTGGGGTCAGGACACCCAACATATCCCAAGCCTCAGGAAATCACAAAACCCTTGAGCTCAGACAAGAGCCAAAAGGCTCTGGCTGAAGCAGAGATCACCAGGGAACCAGAGGCTTGACAGCACTAGACAACTATGGGACAGCATTGCTTAGGCAAAGAGGGAGCTCTGCAGGAGTGGCAGGACTCCTGAAACACTGGTGGCTCCAGCAAAGACCTGGGCAAGCAGAGCTACCAGGTAAGAACCAGAGGGAAATTCCCACTAATTGTACCTCTTCAGGCGAAAGCAAATAGTACTAATCAAAAGCTCACCTTCTGCTCTGTGACCACAAGCCTTACGAAGATGTAAGACAGCCTTATTGCTCAACAAAAAAAGACTGATGCAGGTAGTGACTAAAATAGTAAAAACTTGCATCAAGTGTGCGTGCTCACCTGCCAGGTGAAACGAGATGACCCTCAAGCTCAGCACCTATGGAGGCAAGAGACTTACTTTGCCACTCCTACTAATCAGTTACATTGCAGTATCATCGTCCTTTTCACATGCTAGCTACTTAAACACAACACGAAGCTTGACCTTGCTCTGGAGCAATTGCATGAGGAAAGACTGGGTTCAACTGCATTTCTGCAACTCAACAGAAGATGAATAGACCAATGCTGAAACTCTCCAAGTTACCTTCTCAGGAACAAACACAAGATCAGGCATGCATGTTTCCCTTCCATGCCACGACCTTCTCTGAAGAAGATGTCCATTCAGAAGCACAGGGGCTCCAGCACTCCCTCACCTGTAAGGCATCACACTGTACAGGATCCATCAGCCAGAGAAGTGACTGAGACAGGTAACACTGATCCCATGGTCTACAGCATCATACCACAAAGGACTATCATCTTTTGCAGGAAGTAAGCTGGAAACTCTCTACAAGCAACAGCAAAACTTCCCTAACACTTCCACCAATTACAGATGTAAGTCTTGTTGTAGAGGAAGCGTCTCACACCTTGTAGAGCAGCACGACGCGAGAGTTTGCTGGGTCTGGTAAAGACTAGCAGCCAGGTACCAGTGCTCTCGTCAGACTATCGAAGTGAAAAAGAGATACAGACTCCATCAAGAGAATTATCATTCTGTGCAGCTCACACATTCCTGCAACATTTCAAATGGACCAAAAACTAGAAGTGGGAAAACTGTCTGGAAATAAAACAAAAGGGGGGAAAAAAATTACCAGAAAATACAACTGAGAATTGAGAGCAGCTTAAATACACCTTAGTAAGAGGAACCAAGATACATTTCAGTCCTCAGAGAAACCTGTGCTAATGGACAGTATTTCCACTCCAATATAGATATAATAACAAGTATCTTTAAAGAAAGAAGAAAAATCAAGTGTTATTGATAACAGATTATTTCAGATATTTATTAAGGAGACTACTGTATAAAGTGCACAACTAGCTTGGTTTTGCAATCAAAACAAGAATGCTGTGAGGTGTCATCAAGATTGCTCATTTTAACTTACAATACAGCTTAGAACACAGGGGTCGACCTGAGATGCAGTTCTTAAGTATTCCAGTTATTTTTGGCCTTTGAAGTTTTGAAAGATCACCCCACACCTGTGGTTTAAAAAAATAAAAATAAAAATAAAAATAAAAATAAAAATAAAAATAAAAATAAAAATAAAAATAAAAATAAAAATAAAAATAAAAAACCCAAGCGTCTGTCCTCCAAAGTGCACAGTAGAGATAGGAAAAGCATACACTGGCATGCCAAAAAAGTTAATAGAACAGCCAATGAATCAATACGAAGACTGAAAAAGAGAGATCATCAGGAAACTTCCCTGCTCGAGCAGCAGGAGTCTGGGGAAGCGTATGTACTCTAACTGAGCTCAAGGACCATGCGACGCTTAGGCAAACCGTGTTTCATCTGTATTGCAGTGGTCTTTGCAGGAACTTAGGAGATTCACATAGCAGTGTGCTGGATGCTTCCAACATTGAGAATAAAATAGTAGTTGCAAATTCAGAAGTGTGTAATGCAAGTGCAGCACAGGAGGTGTCACACCAGGAACAGTGATCCTGAGCATGCAGTGGTCATGGCACTGCACCTGCCAACGTGCAAAGGTTTATAAAGGGTAATGACGCAGCAGAGAAGTAGGTTGCGGAGGCATTTGGAAGACAGGAATGAATCCATACTGGTAAAGAGATGGCTGAGAAAAAGGGAACAATACGAAAATGCAACAGAATTCACTTTGAAATATCAAACCAGAAAAATAATCACTGCAGTAATATCAGAAATGTGTTTTAGATAAGACTTCTCTGTGTCTCAGTTTGCATTTGTAAAGCGGAATATTAATTCTTAATGATCTAACCACAGCACTATGAGGCTGGCGAACAAAAACCTAGAAGAGCAGTAGAACAAAAGAAGGATCCAATTTCAGTGCTGGGGAAAAGAGATCGTAACAATGAGATCAAGTGGAGCACAACTGTGGATCAAATGAAACAGTACAGTTTGGGAAACTGTAAATAGCAACAGAGTAAACACCGAGTAAAGGCCACAGTGGTGAGAATCAAGGTTCCTGCTGGATTTAAGCAAGAATCTTAAGAATCTTGGTATTGTATGAAATGGTGAAAAATATATTAACAGCAACACTAAATAATCAATCAGAAATAACAGCAGGAGAAGAAAATTAACACTTCTTCAAAACCAGTCTCCAAACTACATAACACTATGTGCCAGGAGCAGCGTTGAATTTTTGGTAGTTTGCAGTAAGGGTAACAAAGGAAAAACCTCAGGTTAAGAATCTGATGGTGCAGAAGTGCTGGGCACCTACATCTACATTGAATGCAACTTAGCATCACAGATTGATGGCACCTTTGAAAATCAGGCTTTAAAAAGACAAAACTCACAATTTAGCTGGACAAATCTGGTAATTAAAGATACCTAAAGGCTGTGATATTCACCTGAAGGAACCAACAAAGGGCAATTTAAACCTGGATCCCAAATAAAACATTAGAGGACTGTCTTCAAGGAGATTCTGTGAGAAAACATCTTGCATAAGCAGGAAAGGTTTTGAACATCTCATTTATTCCTTGGTATATAACCTCCTTCTGTCATTGAGGACACTCAGACAGCTCATGAGGTAGGTATAGCACAACCAAGTCTTTCCTGACAAATAACAGCGATGGTAACACTTTCAACCTTATTGATTGGCCTAGAACAGAAATCATGATGATAATGGGTTTATGTATCCCTGAGAGGGAGTATAAAACAGGAAGAACAGGAGTCTTCTCCATAGATTTTGGAAGAAAGGCCATCACTTCACTGCCATGGTAGGAAACTGTGTTATATGAAGTAAACGTATTCGTACAACATTGCTGCGAGATATGTGTGGTTCATAGATGGGGGAGCCAGAAAAGTTACTTGACTTGCCTATGGCCATGAAAGCAGTCAGTGACAGACCTGGGATTCCTGATCAGGACTTCCTCGCCTCCTGCATCATGTTCAAACAGTTACCTACTGGCTGGCCAGAGGCTCACTGCATGGATGTTCTAACACACGGTATAAAGATAGTCATGCAAGGGATGTAGCACAAAGTCACTGAAGAACAAGAGCTCTTGCTGTACCAGAAAGCAGATTTCTTCTGGAAGCTGCGTGCAATTGGGAATCTCTGGTGGGAAGCACACATCCGGTTTCTTCACCCTGGAATGTCTGGTGCTTAAGGCTTAGCACAATGAGGACCATTTTAATGACTAAATGTAACAGAGAGAGCCTGTACAGGCATAAATTACAAGGTGTCTGGTAGTGGAACCACCTTTTCCCCGTGCTCTTCTGACCCTTAGAAAACAAACATTAGCCTGGTTAATTCAGTGGACTCATCACATACAACTATAGATCAGTCTATATTTCCATGTCCACAGGTCGGATATCTCCAGTTTTGTGTTCTTTTACCCACAGTTCCCTGTCTTTGGCAGGATCCACTTTCCGAAGCAACTGATCCACAAGCTCTACTGTCTAAAATGAAGAAAACAAGAATCAAAACATCAAGGGCACATTTCAAGTAGAGACAGTCATTGCTTTGAAGCATAGAGCAGCTATGGGCACACCTACGTTGCACTCGCAGAAAAGTGAGAACTGCACATACGCGAGACTCGGCGGACAACAGCCAGATCTAAATGTGAAGCCTCGTAGAGGGAAGCCAAGAAGAGGCAGACTTTTAATGTCAAGCAGAGACAGGCTTCCTATGCCAGGCATTGGCCAGTTAGTCTCTGACTCCTGTCCTCCTATCTGTACCTTACACCAAATATAACCATCTACTGAGGTCGGCATACATTTCCCATATTTTAATATCTGAAAACTAGCCAGTTTTTTAATAAGAAAAAAATATACACTCCCTCCCCCAACACTGAAACCATTTACCACCTTCCTTGCAAGAACAGATGACCTCAAGGAGTAGTGCATTGTGTTGAGAGAGCTAATAATGGCTTGTGCTGGCCAATCATAATGCAATTCATTGTTTCTCCTCCAGCAAAAAGCTATGATCCAGTAGTATGAAATGTAACCAGGATCAGAGAGTCCTGGAGGAGCAGGACTGTAGGGTGGCAGTACAGTACTGCTGCAAAGTGACGAGCTGACCGCACACACTTCCCACATTTCCTTTTGATACAGGTCAGTCAGACCAGGACAGGGACACTTTTCTCAGCTGAAGCGCAGTAGAGACCAAAGGGGCCGAACCAAACGCTAACTTACACTTTGGTTGAACATGTCCGTCTCATGCCGCAGCTGTGTGTACTGGCAAAGATGCTGCCGAATCATCTCCACCCTTTCAACTTCTAGTCTCTCAAGCTCCTGCATACAAAGAAAATTAAGTCCATATTTTTCTTGGAAGCTGAGCTTGAAGGCCCAGAGAAAGGATGACACACAAAAGGTGCCAGTCAGTGTGATACTACCCCAGGGTCATGCTCTGGAGCTGAACTCTGTGGTTGCACATCCCTCTGATTTGCAGAGAATCAGAGACAGCAAGCAACAGAAGTCACTTCAGCCTGAGCCTAATGACAGAAAAAAAGGTCAAAACCTTTCCAAAACTGCGACAACCAAGGCAGAGAGAGGAGCTACTGTCTTCAGGGTCCCTGCAAGCAAGAGGGAATCTGTTTCCTGAAAGAAGCTTTACATGCTTTGTTGCTCGCTCCAGAAGTTGCAGTGATTCCTTGGGGAAGCAGGAGACCATGTTGGGGTGTATGGCTCAAGACTGCCCTTGGTCTAACCAGACACCTGTAAGAGCATTTTTATCTGTTCACCTGATGACGAGCTGGGACAAGTCTCCACCTTGCTCAACTGGCAGTAAGCAGACCCCAGCAACGCTTTCATTGAAAAGGCAGGTGATTTCTAACTTTCCCCCTGATTTTTTCTGCCTCCTTCTTCTCCTGGATTCTGATATTATACCTCAAAATCTGCATTTAGTCCCTCCTTGTCCATCTGAGTTGCAGCAGCGGAAGCAGCATGCTATGGAAGTCTGCCTGCCTTTAAAGACATCTACTCTAATGGACTTTGCTGTATCACTAGAAAGCTCTGTATTCACAGGGACATCAATGGGGCCATATCTTAAAAAACCTGCCTCCAGAGGGCATTTCTGATGCCCGCTTACTAGGCATCCTGGTGGAGTGTAACCTGGCCATACACGAGCAGGCAGGCTGCTACATCGCCTTCCCTGTGCTATCTGCAATTTGTTGAAAGTCTTTTAGGAAACAGATTCTTCATTACAGCACAAAAATATCAGGTGGCAGACGATCTGGAGAAGAGCAAAGAGGCTTACGGTATGGACAGGACTGAAATAAACTGAGCTCCTACTGCTGTTGCCAGCTGATGTACTGCCCTTATGGAAAAAACGCCCCACTTTGAACCCTGACTGCCTTACTTAGGGCACAGATGCGCAGGACCAGACTGCACAGAACCCAGTGTGCTAGTGCTGGGAAGTATGCCATACGCAGAACATGCATTGTATCTGCACCAGAAACTTCAGAGAGGAAGGTACACAAGGAAACACGAATCTTCAGACCTTGACTCCCTCTACTTTGTATTGCATATGAAGTAATCTGTGTCTGAGCTATCAGATGCAGGCCGCTTTTCAATTTAGATTTTATATTCATGTATACCAAGACTTACCTTCAAATGCTTCTCAGCCTGAGTTTCACAACTGACAAACCTGCTGTGCACCCTGCAGGCTATGACTTCCCTCTGGAGCTATCTACTAGCATGCTTCTGAGTTGTACTTCTCCGGGAGCAAATATGGAGCTAACGTATACCTGGCTGTATCTGGACACAGTGGCACTGACGGTCAGTGCCATCTGCACCTGTGAGAAACCACCAGTAAAGGTGAGAGGTGAATCAGATCCCTTATGTATAGGAACAGCCAGCTTTTTCTTTCTTGTTCTGTTTTTGGGAAAATATCTGCCTCCTGTTTTTCCACTCATCCATCTGCCTTGATTTGTTTACTGCAGTTTAAATATTGCACTGACACACTTACAAATGCTGAGCAATTTACTACCCTGCTTCTTATTAGGACGAGTTTACAGTTTTGTGTTTGTCCAATGAGAAAAATTCATACAAAAGACATTTTTATTTCCCACTTTTGAAAGCAATTGGCTGTTTTCCAGAAGGGCTCTAAGGAATGACATGAGGGAGGAGCCCTAAAGCCAAAGTATAGGTATTTCAAGGAATACAGAGTATCAAAGCTGTATCTCGGCATCTTGGTGACTAACCCCAAAGCTATACACCCTTAGGGTGAATACTGTGAGCTGTGTTATCTTCAGAGAAACAGAACAATAGGCATTTAAAGCATGCCTCTTCTGAGCTGGCAATACTCGTGAAGAAATTGCAAAATCATGGACTACAAAAATTCATTAACGTATAAATGGGTTCAGTGGTTTATCACACGTTTTTTCCATGTCTTGCTTGTGCATTACGTCATCCTTGCTGGGCACAATTCCAGCGTTCTGGCCCCTACGCCGCCCTGAAAAGGTTTAAAGTCTTCTGCAAAGGAACAATTATTTCTTCCTTCCCCTAATGATACGAGTTTTCTTAGAACTGAAAAGGGGAAATACAACGGGAGATTTATCACCTAATTTTCCCCACCACTTTGCACTGTAACGAGCTATGAGTGATGCTGTACGCTCTTACAATTTTGCAGTATTATACACGTAAGATGCTACACACACTTACATACCAGAGTGGTGGTCACCATTTCCTCAAACCACTTGGACTGGGCTTGATTGTAAAGATCTACACAGCGCATCAGGTCATCACCTGAGAAATTCCAGACAGCAACACATTAGTCTTCTCTAGCCAGGGTTAACGGAGCTTAGAAATAAATTGCAGTTCAGGTTTTGTAGACAGACCCAGAGGGTTTGAAGGTCAGACCTGGTGGAGCTGAAGGCAGTTCTGCTATGTGGTATTTGTCAGGTGCAACAAACTTTCAACAAAATGCATGCACTTGATGTGCGGTAAAAGACCAGGTAATTGGGGTAAGAAAGAATGAGGAGGGAAAACAAGATTTTAAAAGGAAAATATGAACATTAAAAAATATTTTTGAAAATGCCCTGAACTATGAAAGCAAGATACTTCATTTAAAAAAAAAATGGTTATAGACAGAAAGTTGTATCTGAAAAATAATTAAAATGGGAAATCAATAATAATGACTTATCGTGCTGCAGGGTAGCACTCTGTAGGTGAGACTCCATTCTAAGACAGGTCTGTTTAAATGGGAGCAAAGCTTTAGGCTCAAGCTGTCTGAGATCAAGGGATGTTTATTTGCAACCTCAATCCAGTTGCACACTGTCACAGTTTTGGCTGGGACAGAGTTAGTTTTCTTCTTAGTAGCTGGAATGGTGCTGTGTTTTGGATTTAGGATGGGATTTGGTATGAGAAGAATGTTCATAACATACTGATGATTTTAGTTGTTGCTGAGACATCTAGGACTTTTCAGCTTCCCATGCTTTCCCAGTGTGCAGGAGCACAACAAGCTGGGAGGGAACACAGCCAGAGCATCCTACTTTAGGATTTGATTTTAGGCTCAGGATTGAGGCCCAAATTGGCCAATGGAATATTCTACCTCATGCCACGTCATTCTCAGTATGTAGACGAGGGCTGGCCGGGGATGTCGCTCTCTTCAAATCTCTTTGGATTTCTCTTTGGGGCTCTTGCTCTTCTGGCACTGCTGTTTCGGGACTGAGATCGCTAGCCAGGCTGGGTCAGCCTTACATGTCACTGGCTGGAATGTCGTTTGGTTGATTTGCCTTCAGAGTTGTTTTCCAAGCTGTATTGCAGAGCACCTTATTTGCTGCACGTGCTGCTTGCCCGTGCGGTACCGTCCCCAGGCGCTGGATCAGGACCGGCGATGCCGTTTCGCCGATGAC